GTTCCCAGCGCACATCAGAGGCAGAACGCTGCTTTTCAACATTGAAAAGAATGAAACTTTTCTAAGAAATTAAGAAAATCTAAGAAATTAAAAAAATATAAGAAATTGGTAAAAGTAATTGAGAAATGTTTAATTTTTTTCTTGGAAGATTTCATAAAGTTTAAAAATAAATTTTCTTTTTATACATGTTTGTTTCCTTTTACATAATTTTAAAACAAAGGTTAAATTTTTTTGGAAGAGCACCCCCACTAATTTTAGCCACGAGCCGCCACTGCTCCCTCCTTTCTGCATGCCTTTGTAGTGGCCGGCGCATTCGGCGCGTACTTGGGAGGTCGAAGGATCTAGTCCCAGCCAGGGCATTGCTCATTTTTCACGTCTCCTGCATCAAAATAGCCTAATGACTCTACATCGGTATGCAACGATTCTCTCACAGTCGAACTCTAACACATTTTACACTATGAAATCTTTTTACATAAAGCATAACATGACATCCAACACAAAAAAGCAACGCGTAAATACCATTTTAGTCTGTCATTCTTTTAGTTTCCAAGTGTCATTAATCTTGCGTATAATATGCGCATGTGTGAAATGCTAATTATTTATATATGTTGTACTTTTCATAGATGTTTCAAGTTTGTTGTGCTCTTCCTTCACGATGTAGGAATAATAATATATATATTTGAATTTTTGGTTATCAAGGCTATAGGTTTTAACTTAAATTTTTAACTGCTAAAATCGGCTATCAGTGGTTTATCCCAAAATTGCGTTGCTAGAAATTGCGTCTTCCCAGTTAGGTCGTATAAACTCGGCTTTACGATAAGCAAACACACACACGCACACACACACAATAAAAAAAAAGAGAGACAGAGGGTGCCAAGGTTTTATTTGCAGATGACACATTTTCATTACATTTCTAAAATGCACATAAATTAGCCTTTTGCATTCGGAGTTTTTCTCCCCTGAAACTTTCAACAGATCGGACGTTATTTTTTTGCTGTGTCTAGCCAGACTGCTGACAGATGACAGATCCAGGCAGATGTAATGTGTGATTTATTTGAAGGTAAAATTTGCATATGAAATTTAAAAGGAAAGATATTTTTGAGGTTATTTTATTGTTATTATAACGTGAACATTTTTAAATGAAAATTATAATTATAACTTACATTTAATTTTCAAGTGTATGATACTGTTAGGTATCAATTAGTAGGATGTAGACCTGGTTGACGATCGCAAGTTTCAGAAAAATAAACGGTTTGTCTTTTGAGTTTAAGAGACAAAGCAGTTTTCACTGCCACTATCTATATTTCGCAAACACTATCTAAATTTTCTGACACGTTTTCATTACTTTCACTAGAATCACTATATTGCAATACTATTCTTTTTTCTTCACTGGTGGAATAATGTCCTTCTCATCAGAGTCATTTTCATATTCAGCCACATTAAATCCATTATCACTATAACGTTTCTTCTATCACATTTTTCGCCATGGTTAATAGTATTTTTTCGTTTTTATTGATCAAATAAATGACTAAATCACATGCAACTAAAATTTAGCTGCTAATTACTGTTGCGTGATCTGTAGTGTAGTATTTTGTTGGTGTGCCTGAGAGGCACAATTCGAGTACAAGGCCAAACTTTGGCAGTACCTGTGAGGAGTACTTCTAGTACAAAGGGTTAAATCCTAACATTTTTAATATTTAATAATAATATTGAGTTACCCAGTCGGTATAGTGGTCAGGAAGCTGACAGCGATGCCGAAGGGCCTGGGTTCGAATCCCGGAGAAGGCATGGTTGTAACTGTCCGTCCCTTCATAGGAAAGGCGATGGTGACCCATCTATTAGGTGCCTCCATAGTAAATAGACCACCACATCCGGCCTTGTATAGATTAATGGACTAGGTTACATTTTGTAATTGTTCACAATCTGCCATTGGAAAATAATAATAATAATATTGATTCTTCTGAAGTAAATAATAAAATTTTATAATTTCTGAAAATGAGCGATGCTTAGATAGCTGGAATTTTTAGATTGACCACAAAGTCTCCCTCACTGTTTTTAAGAAAAATGCAGGTCTGCTTACGAAATTTCTATATAGATAAATTTGACAAAAATTTCAATTTCGCACTATCGAAACCTTAAATAACAATCCTGAATCTACGAAATGGTAAGTGAGCTAACGTTCATTCGTTAATATTTCTCTTTTTAGCGAAGTTTCAAAAACTTAGATGATGCCATTTTTCAATAGTCTATTCTAAATATTTTTTTGTATCAGTTTTCTCACACATTTCTGTTCCACCGATTCTTAGTAGAAATTTCACGTTCGCCCAACCAAAATGCTCTTCACGTACAAATATTACGTGCATTTGCGTTCTTAAATAAATAAATAAAAAAAAAAATGCAGACAAACCCTCTGCCATACCCCGGGCGCGCTTTTTGGATATACACTTATACCTTGGACATCAAATATGTCAGAAAATCTTTTCAAAAAGCGGCATTGTTCTTCTTGAAAAGAATATTGCTTCTCCCTGCAAATAACGAAGTGCGTCTATTGTTCCGTCGCTTAGTGACGTCATTCGCCGGAATAAAAAAAGAATACATAGACCTAATTGTTTTAACGGTCCAGTCCCTTTTGTTTAAGAGACTGATGTTCTACGCGACTTTCACTCTCTCTCTCTCTCTTTTTTTTTTTTTTTCTTTAAAGAAGCTGCTGTCTTTTGTTGCAGAGATGAGCAGTTGTAAATAAATAATAAGACTTTTCGCGTAAGAGTAACTCACCGGTGCAAGAACAGTATTTACTTGGTTTGGGAGTTTCTTGCTTAAGCGTTTTTTTAAGCTGATTCCTTCCTTTCGAACATTTTCGACCATAGAAGTAATGTACTTTTTGTAAAATCGGATAAGAGATTCGAAAGTAGTTTACGTTTTGTTCGGTATTTGTCTACTTTTAAACGAGCACCAAAGTCGCTTTGCTATCTAGATCATTTATTGCTTTCTAGAGTTCTTTCTTTTCATCATCGTGGAGAACAACTTTTTAGTGTTGAAGAAGTGAAAGCCTTAAAAAAACGCCTATTCTTGACGCACTTTTGAGCTATAATGTTAGAGTAAAACTGCAGTGTTGCCTATAAACATTATTTTTTATTGATGTTATTTAATGCAAATATTTAATTCGAATAAGTTTGAAATTATCTATTGTTGTAGACTCATTATTGTTCTTTTTTATTAATATAACATTAGTTGCTGAAAATAAAACAACTAAATCTAATTTAAAATTTTGTTAAAAAATAAAGGGTAAAATATTCAGGGTGGCATGCTTCTGTATTATGATGTCATTTATGTCCGTTTCAAGGTAGGTTCAAGCAAAGAAAGACAGATAAGTGATAAGTGATAAGTGACGGTGGACGTGGGCACTGTCCCTTTGCCGTAAAGATTAATCAGTACAGCACCATGTCCACCCTTATCTAAAGTTGGCTAGAGATTGCATATAACTACGTATAGAACATAATAATTATTCCTGTAATTACGCAAATGAACTTGGAGGAGCTTTCATGCAGGGCTAGTACATATGCACTACATGTGTGCAGAAGGCGGTTGCAACTAAATTACTTCAGTGCACGTATAAATAGTGTTGTGCATATACATATTTACATAATTATGACATCGCATGTCTTATGTATACACTATGCGATACGGCATTGACATTATATATGAGATATGAGATAATAGTGGTATTACATTACCATTATTGACATTACATTTACGAATTACATTATGCAGATTCAACTCTGTAAATACATTGTCAAAAGTAACATTGCATATAGAACATATTTATAACACTATATTTGCTCTTGCTTTTATGTGATTGAGCTTTGAGGATGACGTACAGGCAGACCTGATATATAGACATTATAGGTGCTCAAGGCAGCTACATCTGAGGTCCTGCTGTACCTGTGAGATTTTTGTACAGGACACATAGATACTTATTTATGACAGTGTTTGCATATAATGCGGTACTGTACTGTAAGTATTTTCTACATTATGTTACGTAATTCGATACAACATTACATATGACTTTACATTACTATTCAGAAATGACGTTACACTTGCGTTACGTGATATTACATTTACAGTTTGTGCAGTGTTTTTATTATGTCCAATGTGACATTAGATTTTGATACATATTGAGCAATATAATTGCTCTGGCAGTTATGCAAATGAGCTTAGGATGTCTGACATGCCGGGGCATGTAAGTATACATTTCTACTGTTCATAGGAGCATCTTGCTATGTCACTGCGGTATGCGCAGGATTGTACTGTACATATGCTTTTGCATACATATTCTAAGATATTGTCCTTTGACTGTTCAGTACATCCGATGCGACATTTACATTTAAATACACGTATTTAAAGCAGTTAGGTTGTGCAGCCACTTATGGGGATGGGCATTGGGTAGCATTACACTTGCAATTCAGGTCTAGACAGAGCCTGAAGTCAGCTGGGTACTTTCTTTGTCTGACACGTCATCCATATTAATATTCACTGTTAAATTAGTGGAGATGTTCGCGCATACTTGCTGATGTGCATGAACTATTTTATATAATGGTTTTTAAGTTATTTACATTGCTTGAATTTTGATTAGTACTGCTGAGATGTTGCGGTACGCTTCGGATATAAACAGTACATGTACACATACGTGGTATACTTGGCATGTTTGATTGACTTACTGTTGGTAGAGTTTGCTTGTTCAGCGCTATATTTGCGTTATCTGAGGAGACATTTCTCAAAAGCCATGCAGGCCTTGCACTAATTATTCGACTGCGCAAAGGTCAGTGCCGTGTCTGGCAAGTAAATTCATAATTTTAATGATATGTTGAAACAGGTGCTTCTGCTTAATCATGAATTTACAGAAGGCCTGCGTATTGACAGTTGGAATACGCATGTGCAGTTCGCTGGTTAAGTGGGCAGGTTGTGACATAATGCTCCGCAGTGCCCAGGTGGCCACAACTTCACTGATCTTTGTCAGTCACGCCATGCCTGGCAAAGTACTCTGGGAAAGGCCAATGGCCCGTGATATAGAGCACCAAGTGCGTATTAGAACATAGCCGGGCAGGGTTTACGTACATTAGATGGTAGTGTGTACGCCTGCCTGTTTGTGCAGTGTCCCATTCTTCCTGCCACTTAGCGAGAGCCTGCAGATGGAGATGTCGTTTCAAAGTAGAGTGTGGCCATGGAATTTCCAATTCCTCCGCTTCTTTGTTGAGGGCTGCGTCTTTCGCGAGGAGGTCGGCTGCCTCGTTACAGGTGTTTCCTGCGTGGGCTTTCGTCCATGCCAGGCGAACATGCAGATGCTCTGTCTGCCTTAGATGGTATTGAATTTCTTTGATAATTGTGGACGTGTGTGCCGGATTTTGGATGGCTTGTAGGGCTGACATGCTGTCGGAAACTATTGCTGCATTCCTGATGTTATGGTAAGCAATATGTTGTACTGCCTTTTGAATTGCCAGTGCCTCCCCTTGAAAGACGCTGTTGTTTTTGTTCAGATGGCCCTTCCATTGCGCGACCTGTTCTTGGCCTTGAAACATTACGTACGCACATCCGACGTTGTCATCCATTTTTGACCCATCAGTAAAGATACGGGTATTGTACCTGTTCATATCTTCAGGTCGCCCTTTGAGGTTGATTCGTACTCCTACGCTCTGCTGTGCTGGGTGGAACTCAAGTGGATTGGCTGGAATTTCATAATCTCTGGGCCAGTAAGTTTCTTCATATAAAGTGGCTGGTTGCCGCAGTTGCTTAACTTGTTGCAGGACTGCCTCCCTTTCGGCGCTGATGTGAAGGGGAACGAGAACTGCTAAAATGTTCAGTGCGCTAGTTGCTGTCGTGCGGTAGGCCCTCGTGATGTTTAACATAAATTGCCTTTGTATACTTGAAAGATGCCGCACTTTACGGCTTTGCATCGGCTGGGCCCATACGGCCGCCGCATACGTTACAATCTTTTCTGCAACTGTCTGATAGATGATCTTATGAATATGCGGATTGAGGCCCCAACTGTGACCCTGCATTAACCGCATGTTCTTAGCAATGGTCGCGGTACGTTTTTTGAGGTCAATTACATGTCAATTTATTATCAAACAGTAGACTCAGATATTTTAATTGCTTAACTATTTTTATCCGCTGGCCATTGATGGTAATGCGAGGCTGTCTGACCAGCGTTCCTCCTTTTTTGGGGAAAAACAGAATTTGTGACTTGCTTTCCGCTATTATTAATTTTATCATCTGGCATCTTTCGCTGAACAGGGAGCAGGTCTGATTGCTGTTCGCTTGTAGTTCCTCTCTCGGCGACCTTTTACTATAAAGGCGGCGTCATCCGCGTAAGCTATAACCCTTGTATGCTCCGGCCACTGTGCAGAGAGAATACTGTTGAAAGTTAAGTTCCAGAGGTGGGGACCCGCGCATGAGCCTTGTGGGCATCCGCGGGATTGCCTCCTCTGGAGTATACCTCCGTTGTGGACGACTATGACGCTTCGGTCTGACAGGTAGTGCTGGATTGTTCTGTACATGTTCGATGGGCATTTAGCTTCTGCCAGCGCATTGAGTATGGCTGGCCACCACAGCGTGTCGAAGGCGCTTTTTAGATCGAGGCTGATAAACGCCGTGTGGTGACCGTTCCCTTGATTTTTATAAATTTCGTTTTTGATTTCTGCCAGTGCGTGAACCGTTGATGTACCGGTTCTGAAGCCATACTGGTTAGGGCTTAAGTAATTAGTGAGGTGCAAGTGATGCCTCAGCCGATTCATAATGATCTTTTCGTACACCTTCCCCAACGCAGACAAGAGGCAGATGGGTCTGTACGAGTCTGGATTGGAGGGGTCTCTATTTTTCTTTAGAAAGAACACTGCTTGCCCTACTTTGAAACACCGCGGGAATGTACCCGTGTTATAAAGCCTGCTCAGGAGTGAAGTGAAGAATTCAATGTTTGCACTTAAGACGGCCTTGACGATGTTATAATTTACTCCGTCCGGCCCCGGAGCTTTTTTCTTGGGGAGGCAGCGTAGTATTTGTATCAATTCCTGTGCTGTGATATCTTTGTCATCTGGGATGGAAGTATCTGTTGCCGTAGTCCTTTGTTGTTGTTGCTCAGCTGTATCTCCTGTCATATCATCCTGCGGGAACACTGCATCTAGTATCGCATTCAGTGTGCTGACCGTGGGGCTTTCATCTTCTGTCATTGCATGGAGGAGATGAAACTTAGTAGGTGCATACATCTTCCCGGTCGCCAGCTTGTGATGTATGCCAAAGGGAGCTGTGTTCTCTGTGCAGAAAGCCCTCCAGGAGGTGAGCTTTGCCTGTAGGACCATCCTTTTATAATGGGCTCTTTCTCGCTGGAAAGCTATCAAGAGAGTTGACTCAGCGGTGTCGTTCCTTTGGCGATCTCGCTTAAGCCGGCGTCGCAGTGCACGGCACTTTTTTTGCTGTACTTTAAGGTCGCTTGTCCACCAGCTCAGACTTTGCGGTTTTTTGGTGGTTCTGACCGGCAGAATTGCTTCGCAGGCTTCTTGTATTACATTGACGACTTTTTCAGTAAGTTCTCCGAGCTCTGCTTGTGTTGCTGCTAGCTCTATACTGGGGCGCAACTCGCCTAGATGGTGTTGACAGCGCTGGACGAATCGCTTCAGCTTGTTAGCGGGCAGATTATACCTTCTTATAATAGTAACAGTGCCTAAACTGTCAGGAATATGGTCATGTTGCCAAATTCTGTCCAAATGCTTCAGTCTGTCGTTGGTGCGCTGGCACACACAGTTCGAGAGAATGCCAAAATAAGAATCAACACTGTTGTATTAATTGTATTACGGCTAATAATGTGACTCGCATTGATTCTGATACTGCTCATTATGCCAATTCAAAGGAATGTCCTATCTATAAAAGGAAGTTGTCCTATCTTAAAGGGAGTTAAATTTCATTAAGGCACACACGAATTTTGACACAGGATTTTTAGGTGTGTAATGAATTTTCTATAAGTTCATTTTCTATAACTCTCTGGTATATTTGTTTTCCGTAATTTGTATGTTTAAATTTCAAATTAATTATTATTATTAAATATTTTAATGAGTTAGGGATTATTATATTTTCACACTAATATAACATGGTTTTATTTTTTTATGAGTGGATGGACTCCCTCATTTTAATTTCATTGATGTATATTCTTAACATTAATCTTAACCACTGTAGAACCGCTGCGTGTCAGCTCCCGATGGTCGAAAATTTAATTCAAAAGAAGATTGATATTTTATTAATCCAGGAGCCTTATTTGGTTCGGGGCATCCCTGCTTTTCTACGGGAAAACTGGAGAGCAGTTATCAAGGAGGGGGGAAGAGCCGCCATTCTTTTCCCAAATAGCTCTGTTAATTTTTTGGTAGCCCATGTGGAGGATACTATAGTGGCAGTACGTATTTACGGCGAGGGGATTGATCTTGGTGTAATTTCGGTCTACTTCTTGCCCGCCGAGGACGTTAACCCACACTTATTGAAACTGGAAGGGATTGTTCAGTCTTTTTGATAATTTTATAATTTGTGGTGATTTTAATGAAAAAAATGTTATATGGGGGGCTAGATTGAACGATTCCCGGGGACTGCTAACTCTTAATTTTATAACTCAAATGAACTTGATTCTTTTTAATAATCCGGATTCCCCTCCTACATTTGTTTCCTCGGTTGGGCAGGGGTGGACCGATCTTGTAATCGGATCCTTCTCCTTGAATCAGTTTGATGTTCAGCTTGATATTCTTGATGAAGAATCACACAGCGATCATCGTTTTATTTTGATTGATATTAGAAAGATTGAAATTTTGAGTTCTGATGAATATGTTATTTCGGCTGATAGCAGGCGTATTCGCTCCTTCTGTAATAAACTGAAAAAAGAAATTAGGAAATTTGAATATCTTCTCGGAAATATTGACTCTAAAAAAGACTTAAATAACTTTGTTTTTGATCTGGAAGAGTTTTTGACTTCAAATATGAAAAAACTTTTAAAATCTAGGAAGAAAAATAAATCTTTAGCCACTTGGTGGAATAACGGACTGGCTCGTACTCGTAGGAGAGTCCTTGCTCTGAGGTCTAGATCTCAGGTCAGAGACCTTAATTGTGATGAAAGAATTAAGAGAAAAATTAAATACAAAAGATAACTTGCATTATACAGAAAACTAATTCGTAAATCTAAACGTGAATTTAAATACATTCAATTTCAAAAAATTAAAAATTATTATGACAAACCTTTTAAAAATGCTACTAATAAGAGTAAAAAAAAATTTTTTACTCGGCAAGTGATTTATTGAATCCTCAACATTATTACGAAAATTTATTGGATAATGCTCTTGATTTTGGTTTTTGTGATGACACAATTTGCTTTGATGATTATGCTGGCTATGAGGAAAAACAGTTCACCAGGTCCGAACTCGTTTCTGTTATTTCCGCGATTCGATTAAGGAGTGCACCGGGTCTCGACGGGATCACCTCCGACTTTTATTAAAATATTTTTTGATTTCTTTCCTGGTTTTCTTTTAACACTGTTTAATAAATGTTTAGAATTACACACATTTCCTAACACTTGGAAAATGGCTAAGATTATTTTGATACCGAAGGAAGAGAATCGTTTTCGACCGATTTGTTTACTGAAAGTTTTTGCTAAAACTCTTGATAAGTTGATTACAAAAAGGATTTATCACCATTTATTTATTAATAACTTAATTTCAGAAAGACAGAAAGACAGTTTGGTTTTGTCCCTGGTAGGTCAACAGACGGCGCTCTCTACCGGGTGGTTGATTTTATAAGATATAATAAACCTAATATGCACGTCGCGGTGGTCTCCGTCGATATTTCCGGTGCCTTTGACGCCGTTTCTTGGCCTTCTCTTCTTTCCTCCTTGTGTAATATTGGTATTAGCTCAAATAGTTTCGGACTCATTAGGGATTTTTTCAATGATAGGATTCTAATCTATAAACCGAATAACATGATTGAAATTAAAAGAAGTATCTTCAAGGGTTGTCCACAAGGATCTTGTAGTGCTCCGCTGTTCTGGGGCCTCACAGTCGATAAATTTTTAAAGACAGAATTTGATTCGGGGGTCGATGTGGTTGCTTATGCGGACGATTTGATTTTCCTAATTACAGCTGAATCATTAGAAAAAGTTGAAAATAAATTTAATAACATTATGAAAATTTTTAATCAATGGTGCTCTGAGGAGCAAATGAAATCAAATGCTGCCAAAACTAAATTTTTGTTTTTTCCTAAGTCCGGTCGCCACACTCGGCCCCCTAGATTAAGATTTAACGGTGAAATTTTGAAAATCAATCAAGAATTTAAATATTTAGGTGTTTATTTGGATTCGAAACTCAATTTTAATTATCATTTTAATTATATTCAAAAAAGAACTGATTTAATTTTAAATTTTTACAAAAGAAATTACCCATCCAATATCTTGAATAAAAGAAACGATATTTTAAGACTTCTTTATAATAATATTTTTATACCCATTGTTATGTATGGAATTACGGCTTGTGGTCGCAGGGCAGGGGAGTTACTACACTTACGTACGAAACTCAATTCCATTCAGCGGAGCTGGCTTCTCGCACTCACCCGTTGTTTCCACACAGTCTCGAGTGAGGTGCTTTGCGTCCTGGCGGGCACTCCGCCTCTCTCGATAATCTACAAGTATTATTATGATAAAACTATATTAAGAAATAATATTTCGGACTTATTTAACTATGATGAAATCCCAGTTTTTACTGACTCATTTTCTGTCTTTAATTTACATGTGATCCATCCGGCAAACCGTATTTCTATCAGTTATATTATTTATGATCCTTGTTTAACGGAATACCAAATTTTTACTGATGGATCGGGTTATGAGGGCGGGGTGGGTTCGGCTTTTGTTGTATATTATTTTGATACTGAGATCTATCACTATAGATTGGGCCTTGAAAAATATAACTCTGTTTATCAAGCCGAGCTCATCGCCGTCCTCTATGCCCTTAAATGGATATTGAAAAGTAATTTTGCAAGAAATTCTAACTTC